TAATTAGAATATCGTGCAAAGTTCATTTATTTCACTAATGCAACTTAAAAGGTGAAACTAATATATGAGATAGACTCATTACATGCAAAGCAAGATAGTTCAAGTCGTGATTTGTCATAATTGTGATGATTATGGCTTACAGCTCATGAAAACCCCAAGAACCCCAAATCCACAACCTCAAAAAAGTAGATTATTACATGCAATCAATAAAACAAGGATTGTACCTAGAACAATATCAGACCTCTGAAAAGTACAAGCATGCATATGTACTCAGTACTTGGTTTGGGCCCCTTTTGCAGCACTTACTGCAATTACTTTTGCACGATATTCTAATTATTCGAGTTTCACCTTTATAGCTTCGTATTATCCTGCGTTGCTACATAATGTATTGCTGGGATTTATAGTCCTCTATAGCTGGTGGTATTCTGCATTGCTGTATAATGTATTGCTATGTGGTGGGCCTCCATGGTGGGTCAGTGGCTTTAGACCCACTTCTGTTCTCCCTTCTTTTGGTGCGGCAGCACACCTCCTGAACCACCATAGAGTGTAGGCTTGAAATCACTCAAGTCTTTCCTCCATGACAGATTAGAAGGCGCAACGCCTTGAAAATTGAAGCAAGCCCAGAAGTGGCTCCTAAATTACCAAAGCAGCACTGGAGAATTAGGTGATTTGAAGGTGGATCAGGAGGGGAAAACATAGGCAAGGGAACAGTTTGTCTAGAGCATTGAACTATACAATAAGTGTATACTAAGTTGTTTGTATGAATTGGTACCAATTATAAGTCTTTTTATAACATGGTTTTTATCCATATGGTGTCAAACAACAAATTCGGTATTGCTCAGGGTAAAGGATTGGTTTAGGAATGATATGGATGGTATATTTTTTAAAACTTTGATGTGTCTGCTAGATAAAGTCTTATAATTTGAGGAAGCTGAACCCCCCCAGGAAATTTTTTTTATCTACGGCCCTGTCCAGAAGGAAGGACAGTGTCGGCACCAATTCAGAGATGATTTAAGGATCTACAGCTGAGTGATATATAAATAGAATACATATTTGTTAATAGTTAGGATAAATGAATACATTTTTAAGATATAACTCCTAAGTTTAGTGTCACTTTAACCAGAGTTCAAGGAATTATTTGGAATCCTAAAAGACATTAATTTAATTACAACAATGTATAATGTGGAGCGTAATGTCTAAGGAGAACACAGCATAAGATATATCATAGTTCTCAACCAAAAACTTAATCTGCTGATATCTGGTGTTAACGTTTACTCTTATCTTGGCATTTTTCTTCATGATGTGTCCTTGTATTGGTCTTTCCAATTAGAATCCTGAAAATTCTTATTAGAGCCAGCAGATGGCAGTACAGCACGGTATGACCTTGTTGCTTCTATTCCAGGCCTCAAGTTTGACTATAGCCATGGGAAGTTTCATACAAAAAGTGGAGTAATAAGAGTTGGTGATCAGACTCTCCTTTTCTTATTCCCATATTGTTTAGAAAACACTAAAGGGAGTACATGAACAGTTCTTCCATGGGACGCTTTTATGTATGAGGGCTTATGATTACTTTCCTTCTAAGAAAAAGCATATTTAGAAAGCATACTTTCTTTACAACTACACTGTAAGCCAGGAAACATTTAACTATCCATAGGAGCTTATTTCAAATGGTAGTCCTCTTTAAAGAGCTGTCTGCTGAAGTATTGAATTTGTAAGCTACACAATTTACGTAGGAGACAGTTGTAGTGATTATATTATGACCAGTGCTAATACTCTATGTCTGGATACAGGGAACACTACCAATGATGTATAAATAAACAGGCACAAAATGTGATATTAACTTTATACAGGTTGGCCGACACCTGAGTAAGAAATCTGGATGTAGCCTTTTCTGCAATAGTTTAATGTAGGGATACTAGTATCGGTATAAGTGCAGATACCGAGTATTTGGGCGAGTAGTCGTACTCGCACAAATGCTCCGATACCTTCCCCGATACTGGAACTTCTGGTCAGAGGGAGATTTCCTCTGACTGGCAGTGTTGCAAGTTTTTAAGGTTTTTGCGGGTCTCCAGACTGTGCTTTTGTCAAAACAGAAAGAAGAGGAAAGAATGCCAAGAGTACCAGTGAGAGTGAAAAGCATGACAAACGGAAGAATTTGGTCATCCCATATGTAGCTGGGGTGTCTGAGAAACTCAGAAGGGTTTTTAAAAAACATCACATCCCTGTCTGCTTTAAACCCAGCAATATGCTGAGGCAACAACAGGTTCACCCAAAAGACACAACGCCAAAACACAAGATGAACAACATTGTGTATGCAGTCCAGTGCAGTGAGGGGTGCTCAGAATTGTATGTCGGTGAAACAAAACAGCAGCTGCAACTGCGTATGGCACAGCATAGAAAAGCCAAACCCTCTGGTCAGGATTCGACAGTATACCCTCATAAAAGAGGTGTGAAAGAGGCCATTTATGTAAAAATGGAGAAGCCAAGCTTGAATAGAGGGGGGAAGATGGGGGGGTTGAGACATCTACAGTCTGCCACATACAATGCTCATTTAACACCTCTCTCTGGGCAGGTTAACAACACCTCCTGGACCCCAATTATGCAAATGAAATCAACACTTTTCACCTGAATTCACCATATATTCCCTGAGAATTTTTGTCCAAGTCATTCTGAATTGAGAAAGCTGGTTGGATGACCAGTGAAACGTCTTCAAGAAGAAAAAACAGACATATTCTAGTCCTAAAGTAGTGTGAATCTGCCAGCATGATGGCGTGCTGCCTAGGGCGCATGTAAACAACAGGCTGAACTCACAGGAAATGGACCAAATGACTTGAGTGTCATTCTGCCCAAATAGGATTATGTGCACTGGACCAATGAGGGGACAGAATTGGAACATGGAGAGTATACGTAGATATTGGCAATATTTTTTTTTATACAGGCGGGTGGGAATCTAAAAATTTAATTAATAAAAATGATTGAAGCTCTACTATAACATATCCCATATGGTACTCACACAAACAGCCAAGCCTTCAATCTCTATTATCACATATGATGTGTCCTCCTTCAGATTTGTGCATTTCACCTTGAAGGAAAAAAAAGAACATATTTTATTAATTTGCATTATGAAACAAAAAGTGCAATATTTTGTGATTATATTTTGTTTTAACATCTGTCTGTTAAACAAAAGTGATCAAAGCACAGTGATAAGCCAAGGCATATGATGACTACTCTTGTGTACCACTTGTACTCACCTTTGACATGCTGTCATGTAGACCTTGATATAATCACATATTAGTATTTATAAATACTGATTACCAGTTCTATCTTCAAGCTAAAATTCGGGCACACAGTTAACATAATTAGAATACAAAAATGGGAGCCGCTCTACCTGCAGGTTTTGTATACCTGTCTATCCTGTCCTTAGCTTTATACAGCCCTGTCAGAGCCATTGTTGACCTGACTTTTCTCTACTGTGGATAAGCAATACAACATGTTACTGGATGGTTAAGGAACAGTAGCAGACTGATGAGATCACCCTTCTCCTCTTGTCACTATGTTCACATGCAGCACAACTGAATGACACCTAGTGGTACTCTTCCCTCTCTCAGTCTGTTTTCTACTGTGCAGGGCATTACAAGATGCTGATACCAAGTCAAATTCAGGTACATACGCTAGTTGCATTTAAAAATAAATTTCATGATTTTAAAGAATATATAATGGAACTATTAATGTGTTCTTTTTATCTGCCTGGTGTGAAGATCTAATGATTAGATTACTGAGGCAGTTCTGCACCATGGTCCCTTACAACCAGAGTCCTGCGGTCATGGAAGGCAGGTGAGGCAGAGTCTCACCAAGTATTATGAAGAAAAAATGCGGTCAGCTTCAAGTCTGAAGTGGAAAGCCTCCCCGCTGTGCAACCTGTCATGGACGGAGCACTGCCTGTTAATTACAGGCAGTGCTGCATCCTGCTCTTGACAGGTAGTTAGGTTACACAGCAGCGGGCGTCCCCACTGCTTGTGTAACCTAACTTGGTGAGGCAAGAGCTGTCACAGCCTCTATTCTGTGTTAGAGGCGTGAGCTCTGCGGATGGCGTGGACCCATGGCAAAGCGGACGGGGCGGAGCTTCAGGGGGCTTGTGGGTGCCTCACCCAGCACAGAAGGCACGGCACATCACTGCTTACAACGTACTTTTATTGCTCTTTAAACGCAAGTTGCGTGTTACCTATCAGCTACTGTGTGTACATACCATTAGTTATCTATGGTCAAACATTATCAGAGTTTAAAAGATGAGGTCCCAGAAAAGGATTGGGGAGAGTCAGGAGAGGAAACTGGGATTATGGGGAAAACTAAAAAGGAGAGGTTATAGGGAGGTAAGGACAGATATTATCCACTGGTCTTCCACCAAATTTCCCAGAACTACCTCTAGAGCACAGTAGAGTAGAATAGAGTACAGTATAACATAAATGTTATGGCTTGTTCCATTTACCTCAATATTTTCATTTGGCTTTTGTACTCTTTGAGTCTCAGTGGTCTTCTGTGACCCCATATCCTCTTGAGTAGATAACTCAACTGGTTTTGAAACTGTAGAAAAGCCGCTTGGGAGCGGAGCAATCGCAGACTTAGTGGTCATGGTTGCTGGAATCCCGCCTGCTATAGAAGAGGACGTCGTCTTTGGAGGTGGCGATGCTGATGAACTCAAAGCTGGGGTGCTTATCTTAGTGTCTTTGGATGGCTCAGTACTTGGGGTGGGCTGTGAGAGTGCAGGGGCTGTAGTTGAATCTGTAGATGTTGAGACAGCTTTTGTAGCATTGCTTACCTGGGTAGGTTCTGTGGAAAGTCAGAAAACAGGTGCATGTTTACAATTATTACATTAAAGATGTTGTAAGGTCACAGCATACGCTATCATGTTATAACAACATTGTAATAGGAATACTAGAGTTATTTTTGATAATGCATCACAGCTTTTTTGAAAAAAATCCCTTTAAAGTAGTGAGCTCTGCCCATAACTTTCAACAACTTCCTGGATTCCGAGTGCACTTTGTGTTTCTTTCCCTGCTGCGTGATGTGATGCAATCTTGATTTCTCAAAACTACATATCCCATCCCATGGCCAGCAATGATGATGTTACATTGTGCGAGGTTCAACTTTTGAGTTGTAGTACGGCAGGCTTAGTTAGAATGTTGACACAAGGGAAGTGCATAATTACAGGGCTGAGTAGAATTGCGTCAGTACATTGAGGAAGTAAGGCATCTTCAATAAGTTTACAAACTTCTAGATTGATATGGTAATTAGGAGTGGGATAGAACTTACGGGAATTCTGTATAGAAATAAATTTATTTTTAGCTTTTGATCAGAGATACCCTTTAAAGCATAAGTGCTAGACATGTGCGATTCGTTTCGTTCAGGATCAAAATTCGGACAAATTTCTGACATTCGGACACATCCGAATTTCTGAATCCCAATGCATCCGAATAAGTCTGAATCCGAATTTCCGTTTATGAATTCCAGATCCCGTCCAAATTTCGTTCAAAAACAAAACTGAATCGGACATGTGACTTTTCTGGCTAATCAGATGTGTTTTTTGGTTTAATGCATCCGAATGGGTCTGAACACGAATTTTCGTTACAGCAACAATAAAAAATAAGTAGAAATAATTCGGAAAAAAAAACGGTGCCCGTTGTCCTGTCCGCTCATGATGAACTCCCGCCGCAGAATGGCCTTGTGGGGCGCTCGGTGGGCGAACAGCCCGCCGAACGCCCTGACAGTTCGTGTGTTCGCCGAACACACAAACTGCCAATTTTCGACTTGAATCTATGCTCGATTTGAACATCGAGCCCATCCCTATTCTTGACACTCCTTTGGGTGAGTAGAAGCAAACACAACTCATACAAATTTCTCTTTGATGATGTATTTGACAATTAAAAAATATACTAATATATATATAATGGATGTAAATGGTCAAGTAATTATGTGTTTAGTTTATACTAGATAAATTGCATCTGGTCTTCTGGGGAAGCACACCAACGAAACACGTTGGGAGTATAAATGCATGCCACAATTGAAATATCATTGTGAAGACACACACAAATTAACTGAGAGGAAATATTGGACGATGTTAGTCAATTGGTATTCATCTTGTTACCAGATCGTAAATGTGACTAAGGAAGGCATATTGTAAAGGAGGGGAAACAAATGAATGTGTTTTTATTCCTATATTATACTTATTGCATGTCAAAATGACTTTTTAATGAAAAACATCTGTTGGAATCATATTTGTGTACTGATATTAAACATTTGCAATGGTGTGCGCCTCTTAAAACCCCAGATGAATTTTGGTGTTAGTCTAATATCCCTTAAAAGGAGAACTATGACATGAGTGATTTCCACTCACCTCATAGTTCTAAGCCGACCTGTGACAATGAGAGTGTCACAGGTCGGCTCAGTAGATCGGGAGGTGAGGGAAAACATACCGGGTTCCCTCACCTCTCGATCCTGTCACGGCTCTCTGCCGTGACAGGGGGAGGGGCTGGATTCCCCTCTCCCCGCTCCGATCTGCCGGCGCTGACTGGCGGAACGAACGGGGGAGGGGGCGGGTACAGCTGGCTCTGCCTCTAGGTAGGCAGAGCCAGCTGTCACTCACGCAGCTGGGCGGATTCCGTCATCTAAGTCGGGATCCGCTCCAGGTGCGGCGTCTCAGTATACCGCGAGCTGTAGCTCGCGGTATACTGAGCTTAGGGTAACGGGAGGACGCTAGTTTGTGTCCTCCCGTTACCCTAAGGAGAACAATGGGGAAAAACACTGACCCCATAGTTCTCCTTTAAATTAATATAGGACTATATAGGATTATTTCCTTCCTTATGTTAGTAACCTTGTGAAGTGATTGGAATTGTGTCAGACTAAAGCTGCTAGTTGCCACGGAGATTAGCAATGTTTATGCATGCTTAATTAAAGGGTTTTGACTTTAAATTGGCCTAATTGTCCTTATTATGTAGGTAAATAGAGGGCTCTCCCTCTTTCTGCAGGGAAAAAGCTATTGGCCCTAATTGATCAAACTGCAGTATCTCTTAAAGCAGAATTCATGCCAAAACTTAAAATAAAATAACTAATAATAATAAAAATACATTGAATGATGTATGATTGATTACTTTTATATCTGCCTAGGGATTTAGGGAGTTCTTAAAAGTACCTATAGTAAACCTGTGTCCATGCTATGGACATTCAAGCATTTCCATGTTCATAACAATCTTTCTTTTAAGCAATTATAGCTGCAGGCTCTGTGGACTAATTTATCCTTTAAAGCTCACAACATATTGCGCTTACATATTCACTGTTCACATTACCCCATGCTCCCATAAAAACTTGTTTTAATGTGCCACCTTTATAGTGTAGGTGAAGCCAAAACATTTTTTTCTAGTTTTGAAAAAAGTAAGAAAAGGTCAAAACCCCTATTAGGTTTTTTTAAAAATTTTTTATTGCTATTCAGGTCTCCCTTAGCTTTACCCTCACTTTCTGTCCTGCTGAAAATGTTTTTACAGACAAGAGGCGAAGGGAACGTTCCAACAGCAGCACAAACAAAAACAATGATTTTAGCATATGGGAAGGCTCAGGATTTGTATTTCTGTCCATTTCGCTATTGTAGATTATCTCTCACTTCCTGTCTGGTAAACAATGATTTTAGCATATGGGTAGGATCAAGATTTGTATTTCTCTCTATGTCCCTATTGTAGGTTATCCCTCACTTCCTGTCTGGTAAAACCAATGTCAGCAGGACAAGAAGTTAGGGTAAATCTTACGTAGCCTCGGATAACAGAAAAACCCAACAGGTTTTCTAATCCTTCCCCACCCAATCTAAACTTAGAAGAAATGTTTTTGATTTGATGTATAATATATGGGGAATTAAGGAAGGAGTAACAATATGCCAAGATAGGAACAACATACAAACTCCCTGGTTTCCCAAAAAATAATGGAGTAAAACAATGCATACCTGTTGCAGCAGTTCCTTCAGGGTGTTTAGACGAGCCAGGCAGTGATGTCATGGAGTTGTCTGCTGTGCTAGCACTATATTGATTAGTTGATGTCACTTGTAGAGGGGCCGTTGACTGTTTTGTGGTTGTTTGGGGACCCTCTGAGCTGGTTACTAGACCAGCTATAACGCCTGATGGTGCTCCAGTGGATGCTCCTTTTGGTGATGTAGTTATTGTGCCAGATTGAGGAGCAATGGTAGTAGCAGTGGTCATTGTTATAATTGAGGGTCCTGCAT